AAAGAAAGAATCTAGCGACAATACCACTCGACACAGTTACAGGACCAACATCCCACTACTAGAGGGGGTGCCACAAGGAAGGTCAACATTAAGCCTACTCTTCATTTTCTATATAGCAGACCTCGAAACGACCCAACAACTGCGTAAGACGTCAGCTTTGCCGACGACGATATAACACGTTTAAAAAGCAATGTGCAAAGATTGTAAATACTGTTTATAGTAATCCTAATTAAGATTTGTATTAACTACTATTATTACGATAATAAAAAGAAAAAAAGCAAGAAGTGGGTTTGCCCCACCACTTTTTAATTTCTCGCCGATTCATTTTTCCGGACTAGCTAGATCACTTTCCACGACCTTCATCCTTTCCTATCCGGCTGAAAAAAAAACTTTTCCCCCTCCCCTCTTCTCTCTCTCTTTTCTCCCCCTCTTCTCTCTCTTTCTCCCCTCTTCTTCTCTCCCCCTCCCCTCCTTCTCTCTCTCCCCCCTCCCCCTCTCTCTCTCTCTTTTCCCCCCCCCCCCCTCTTTTCTCTCTCACTTCCCCCCCTTCCCCTCTTCTCTCTTCTCTTCCCCCCCCTCCCCCCCCCTCTTCTCTCTCACTATTCCCCCCCTCCCCCCTCTTCTCTCTCACTTTTCCCCCCCTCCCCCTCTTCTCCTCTCTTCCTTTCCCCCCCTCCCCTCTTTCTCTCTCACTTTTCCCCCCCTCCCTCCCCTCTTCTCTCTCACTTTTCCCCCCCCCCCCCCCTCTTCTCTCTCACTTTTCCCCCCTCCCCCTCTTCTCTTCTCACTTTTCCTCCCCTCCCCTTCCACTTTTTCCCCCCCTTCCCCTCTTCTCTCCTCACTTTCCCCCCCTCCCCCTCTTCTCTCTCACTTTTTTCCCCCTCTTCTGCCTCCACTTTTCCCGCCCCTCCCCTTTCTCTTCACTTTCCCCCCCCCTCCCCCTCTCTCTCTCACTTTTCCCCCCCTCCTCTTTCTCTTAACTTTCCTCTCCCCCTCTTCTCTCTCACTTTTCCCCCCCCTCCCCCTCTTCTCTCTCACTTTTCCCCCCCCCCTCTTCTCTCTCACTTTTCCCCCCCTCCCCCTCTTCTTCTCTCTCACTTTTCCCCCCCCTCCCCTCCTCTCTCTCACTTTTCCCCCCTCCCTCTTTCTCTCTCACTTTTCCCCCCTCCCCCTCTTCTCTCTCTCTTTTCCCCCCCTCCCCCTCTTCTCTCTCTCTTTTCCCCCCCTCCCCCTCTTCTCTCTCTCTTCCCCCCCTCCCTCTTCTCTCTCTCTTTTCCCCCTCTTCTCTCTCTCTTTTTCCCCCCCTCCCCCTCTTCTCTCTCTCTTTTCCCCCCCCCCCTCTTCTTCTCTCTCTTTTTCCCCCCCTCCCCCTCTCTCCTCTCCCCCCCCTCCTCCCTCCCCCCCTCCCTCTTCTCTCTCTCTTTTCCCCCCCTCCCCCTTCTCTCTCTCTTCTCCCCTCTCTCTCTCTCTCCCCCTCCCCTTCCCTCTTCTCTCTCTCTTCCCCCCCTTCCCCCTCTCCCTCTTCTCTCTCTCTTCCCCCCCTCCCCCTCTTCTCTCTCTCTCTTTCCCCCTCTCCCCCTCTCCCTCTTCTCTCTCTCTCTCTCTCTCTCTTTTCCCCCCTCTCCCTCTTCTCTCTCTCTCTCTCTCTCTCTTCCCCCCCTCTCCCTCTTCTCTCTCTCTCTCTTCTTCCCCCCCTCCCCCTCTTCTCTCTCTCTCTCTTTCCCCCCCCCCCCTCCCCTCTTCTCTCTCTCTCGTCAATTCGCAAATCGCATCTCGTTAATATTACTACTTATTAAAAGTTAGGGTTTACCTTTGTGTATAAAAATAATTTATTAAAGGTAAACGAAATTTAAATCTTTTTCGATCGTATAAATACATTTTAGTCTATACCGAAGGGTGCGGCGTCATGCTGAAAAGGCACCGTACTAAGTACGGCATTAGATTTTTTTTTTCAATTACCTGTCTGAGAAGAGACTTGTATAAGTTGCCAACATTGTCACGAGGAAATGACGTCAACTATTCAAATACTTATTTTCCAGGTTGATTGTTTAGACTTGAAAGACGAGTCTCAATGTGTATTGACTCTTACTCCTTCGCTGCAAGAACAAGAAACTTCAGGTTCAAATGGATTACCAGTACAAGGACGAAATCCTGTCGAGGCAGCTGTAGCGGAACTGCTTTCAGGGCTGAGCAAGCCTGTTGGGGATTCTTCAATAAGTGAGGAACAAAGTAGTGACGTTGTGGTTGCAAATGCATCGGAGCCTCTTTGTAAAGGAGATGATTTTAGGTGTCAACTGTAAGTATATTTATTAAAACGTACATTTGCATTGTTTCTATAAAAGTTACTATTATTTCATATTACTTATTATTTTTTATTTATTTGCCATTTTTTAGAGGAATTTCTGCATATGCATTTACTTTCTTGAGCTTTTATCACTTCAGCATCCCAGAATGTATCCCGAAACGGGAAAGATGTGACGGGACTCCCCAGTGTCGCGATCAATCAGACGAGCATCGTTGCTCATGCCTTGACAGACTTCGCAGTGTAAAACCAGGTCTAGTAAACGATGGATATTACGACTGCTTTGATGGAAGCGACGAATTTGTCAGTAAGTGAACACCAGACAAGCAAAACATTAGGTCTTTTTTTATATTCTTGTATTATCTAACATCACTACAAGATTTCCATGGGTACTAAATATCTAACAACTAAGGCAATATGTTTTCGTGTCGAATGGTTTTCAGCTTCTACGAGACTAATAAGTTACAAACCTTTTAAGATTCCTTTCCTCTTCCCAAAAGAAACCAAGATCAACACAAAAATGAACAGTATGTATCGTAATATAATACTAAATACCAAATACCTAATACATGAAAGTATGGAATGTTAGGTAAGGAAGTCATAGTAAACCCCGAGAAGTGTTGCATGCTCTGTTGTCCCAAATGACAGATCATGGAAATGTTTTTGTTAAAATGAAGTTAAGAGGGACGACTCGGTGGAAGGAAGGGAAGAAAATCTGAAGGTAGCTTTCTGCTAGGTAGCATGGTATGTGTTTGCAGTTAGGTCTCGAAAGTGACGTCCTGGGATCCTCTAATCAGTAGTGTGGGGCAAGGGAGAGCGAACCTGAGATGCATGTGGAGGAGTATCTGAAAAGCACTGCCTCACAAGGCCTCGGACATAGGGACATAGACAACCAGTAAAGACATCCACGATCAATTCAGGTCTTTCCTTATCTTGAAGCAGTCTCTTCCGCAGGTGAACTACCAGTATAAGGCTGTCGTGATCCAATGCGGAGGCTTGTGGCCCCTGCAGAAGAGATTGATCCCTGTTTTGGACAGTACCTATAGATTTATATTCAAGATGCTTTGGACATGTTGAATGATGAGCTCCAGAAGTTTGATCACTCTTGGTGGGGTCCTCTCTCATTTGTTGTGTGTAAATCCGCAGCAAGACCTTCAAGCCTTTAGACATCCGAAGGTGGTGAGGGATGTAAATCCAAGGATGCATTTACAAGGGTTTATCTTTATGATCTGTAGCAATATGGTAAACATATTCGTTGGTCATCACTGTGGGGGTTGTAAGTCAGTCAAATCAAACGCCAAGAAGTATTGGTGGTGATGATGAGTAAATTTCTGCAAATATAAATCAGAAAGCAGTTTATTAGTATATTGATCTAGCTAAGTGAAGGACACTATCACAATTTCACAAGATAATTACACAGAATATGAAGAATTCGTACATGAATACTAGATTGTTTTATAACACAGACTTAGCATTAGTTTAGATTTCACTGATAACTCATTAATGAGTTATTACATGAACATTGTCAGGTGAATTTCTCAAAATATGGTGCACATCTTTGATATAATTACTTTTAAATATAATTACTATTTCATCTCTTGTTACGTAATGATATCATAATGGTATGATACTATGGGTTGAATTGTCTTGACAGCAAGAAAAATATTTGATGGTTATTTGCGTTTGTTTTTTCTTGCCAATACCAAAGCTAGATCTTTTCTTCAGAACTATGCCAAGGCTTCATGTGTGAAACGAGCAGGCAGTGTATAGCCATGAGTGAGGCATGCGATGGTGTTGTTGACTGCCAGTATGCCGAAGATGAAATTAACTGCAGTAAGTGAATTATTTCAATTGTATATTCAGGTAAACTAATTAAAGAAATTAATTGGCATTCATTTAATATCTAAGTGATATCCAGAGAGACAGAAAGCAGTTGCTCCTTTTTATTGAAAATGTTTAAAGCAAAGCTTTCGAGATGCAACTTTTACATTTAAAAGTGGAATGCCGCACAGAATCTTGTCCATCTGTTTTAGTTGGCCTTGTGTCTGCGGTTGACCCCCCTTCGTTGAGTGGCCTGCTGGACCTATCAGAGCAGCGGAGTCCGGCTGGGATGTTGATGCGCAAAGAAGGCATTTCGTGGAGGCCCGTTTGTCTTGAAGGTGTCAGTACCGAACTGGTTAAAGAAATATGTCCCTATCTTGGATACAGGTGAGTCTGCTTCCTAACCAGGAGGTAAAGCTAAGATTTCGGTAGTATCCTACGGGAGTGGGAGTGGGAGTTTAATGTACTTGCTCTTGTCGGTAGCTTAGGAAAATTATAGTTTTCACTGAAGGATTCAGGTCTCGGGTTGACTATTATTTATCTTTACCTTTTGAAAGGCAACAGGATTCTCAGTACCCGAATGTTTTAGTTCTGACCCAATAGAAACCAGCCATAACACCTCGGATCCGATAGAAATCCTCTATGAAGAAGAGACAAGGCGGCTGCGCGCCAACCAGAGTGTAGTCAACTTCCCGGCGAAACTGGGAGACGAACTTCCTTACTGGCGGGAAGACGCCGCGGCGCCACACCAGGGCGACGTGGGCCAGCAAGGCAGACATGGCTTTCTGAAGCTCTTGCAGGTCATTCAAAAAGACGGATCTGAAGGCCGCTGTAAGGTAAAAACGGTGGCCTTTTCTGTCTCTTATGCAGATAAGCGCATACATTGCAAAATTTGGGTGTTTTTTTTTTTTTTTCTTTTTTTTTTTTTTTGACAGAGCGAGGTTCGATGTGGCGAGGAACTATGCGGGATTGTTCCTAGATTCGTGTTCACTCAGGACATTCCTGTATGGAAGCTGGGTGGTGTGCCATGGGCAGGAGCAGTTTATGTGAACGGTCAATATAAATGTGGAGCTACCATTGTCCAGCCCTCCTGGGTTATGACTTCAGTTGCCTGCATTTCTCAGGTTGAGTAAGTAGATCTTAATGCGCTAGTAGCCTTTTCTCAGAGTTAAATTCTGAAAGCAGTGTCAACACCATCTTAACCGTTCCAGCCTCACTAAGTCTCGGGTGACTGTGGTAATGGGCTCTTGGAGGAAAGTTGGAAAACCAACCCGTTTGTGGAGTGCTTATGAACACGACCGTCGTGTGGACTACAAGGTGGCTGTGACGTCTTCGGATATAATGCTACTTCACCTTCAGGAAAGGATGCCTAAATCACATTATATCAATCATCTGTGTTTACCAAACAGGTATGTTTGAGTTCTTGGTTTTACTTGGTTTTATTATGTTATGCATCAAAGAGCGGTTTCATTATGTTATGCATCAAAGAGCGGTTTCATTATGTTATGCATCAAAGAGCGGTTTCGCATTTTCATTATGTTATGCATCAAGAGCGGTTTCATTATGTTATGCATCAAAGAGCGGTTCGCATCAAGAGCGGTTTTATTATGTTATGCATCAAAGAGCTTATGCATAGCATGCATCAAAGAGCGTTTCATTATGTTATGCATAGCATGTTATGCATCAAAGAGCGGTTTATTATGTTATGCATCAAAGAGCGGTTTCATTATGTTATGCATCAAAGAGCGGTTTCATTATGTTATGCATCAAAGAGCGGTTTTATTATGTTATGCATCAAAGAGCGGTTTTATTATGTTATGCATCAAAGAGCGGTTTTATTATGTTATGCATCAAAGAGCGGTTTCATTATGTTATGCATCAAAGAGCGGTTTCATTATGTTATGCATCAAAGAGCGGTAAAGAGCGGTTTTATTATGTTATGCATCAAAGAGCGGTTTCATTTGTTATGCATCAAAGAGCGGTTTCATTATGTTATGCATATTTGTTATGCATCAAAGAGCGGTTTTATTATGTTATGCATCAAAGAGCGGTTTCATTATGTTATGCATCAAAGAGCGGTTTCATTATGTTATGCATGTTCGCATCAAAAGCGGTTTCATTATGTTATGCATCAAAGAGCATTATGTTATGCATCAAAGAGCGGTTTTATTATGTTATGCATGCATGTTATGCATCAAAGAGCGGTTTCATTATGTATGCATCAAAGAGCGTTTTATGTTATGCATCAAAGAGCGGTTTTATTATGTTATGCATCAAAGAGCGAAAAATAGAGACAGCGGGAGATACATATAGTTTTTAAATAAAATAATGAACTGGAATAATATAATGATTATATTATTCCAGTTCATTATTTTATTCACTTTTTATACCAGGAAAGTGAATACAACTTGTTTATATTTACCTGCAGTTTGCCGAAAGTACAACCAAACAGTTCTTGTGTCATTGCTGGTTTGTCTGAAGATGATGATCGCCTCTCACTTGGGATAGCTTTTCACACTGATGAAAATTGTACCAATAGTGAAATTTGTATTGCAGACGATCTAGGCAAAGCTCCTTGCATGGTACGTAAAATCTGGGTTTGCCTGAAGATTCTACAACGAATGCTAGTGCTCTGGTGAAGGATATATAATATTTGTACTATTTCGATGCTTTGAGATGTCATGATACTCTTGGCCCAACACAGTCATCATGGGCGGGCGTAATTGCCTGTAGGACGGGTTCCGGAGCGAATTCAGTATGGACGGGTGTGGGAATGTGGTCGCATGGGAAGCACGACGGGAATAGCAGTCAACCTGTCCGTCATTCGTTATTTACAAACGAGGACCTAAATTCCATCTTCAGAATCTTAGGTATGTTCCATTTTGATACAGTAGGGGACTATTACAGTTTTGATACTGTAACTTGGTCAGTATAGAGAATTAATTAGAATTCAGGTTAACGTTATTTAATTTTTTTTTTTTTTTTTTTTAGAAACTGTTTTATACCCTTGTTTACATTTCAGCAACCCCAGACACGAGCATACCAACAGTACCAGATATCTGTGAGGGTGACGCATGTGCAACGGGTGTCTGTATTGGACAGGAGATGAAATGCGACATGAAGCTAGACTGCCCTGACCTTGCTGACGAGCTTCCAACCTGCCCTACACATTTCTCCCTCTGTGCCCCTGACAAGGAAACAGACACCTGTGGTAGAAGCTTTATGACCTTAAGGAATGACATACAAAACTATAGAAGCTCCCCTTTGATTTTGTATATTATTTGGGGGGCCCATGATGATTTCCACACATAGTATTAAATAAATGGACATTGGACTGTCTACCTTTTTAATTTGGAAGAGCTTGACAATTGCCTAAATCTAACCCTTTTAACCGACTTCAGATTTTCCTTACATTGACAGTTTGTGAGGATGAAATGATGCAGTGTCCCGACAAGATTTGCATTCCTTTCGACAAAGTGTGTGATGGCATCTCTCACTGTCTTGATGGTTCTGATGAAGTAAACTGCACATGTATCGAGGTGAATATTACAAGTCCATTTTCACATTAGATACTGTATTTTAAGACATTGATTGTGTTCAGAGGAACAGTGACACACAATATCGACTCTATTTCTACTTCGGTCAGATGCTGCGACGTGTTGACAGAAGGAAAGTGTGTGATGGAATTATAGACTGCGAAGACCAAGACGATGAGAAGTACTGTGGCTGCTCTGATCATTCTAAATTTCGATGTTATAAGTGAGTGCCTATTCTTTAGGATATTAATATAAACAAAGAAATAAGTGATACATAATTATGCATGACATAGCTCACTTGATCTCCAAATATATTCCCAACACTGTAGAATTAACAATTGTATCCAACAGTTCATCACAGATGTGCATTGAAGAGGAACTGATGTGCGATGGTAAGAGTGATTGTGAGAATGGAGAGGATGAGAATCACTGCTTAGCTTTGTCACCTTGGGTCTTTGTGTCGGAGACAGTGCTAGGGTAAGTTTAGGATAAGTATTTGAGTGCTTGGCTTTGTGATTAAAAATTTGCTATAACACCAAAGGCTTTTTCCACCTACAGCATTCCACAACGCAGTCGTGAAGGTTTTCTTATGTTACGGATGAGAGGACGCTGGTTTACCTACGGCAGCAAACACTGGTCAAAGAACACCTACCTTTCTGGCCACTTGTGCCAGAACCTTGGCTACCCTAATGTCATCGCTACAGTCAGTCGCTCTCTCAGCATGGAACAGGTGATCGAAATAGGCAAGGAATTTGCCAATTCTACCAATGCAGACCTAACCAAATTTGACACAAGTCGTCTGCTACCTAGTGAGGAGGAAGATAGCACATCAGTTGTATATGTTGTCTGCCTTGAAGAAGATTAAGAGAAATAAGTGGGACATTTTTAGCACAGGAGTAGCATAGATGTTCATTTTGAAGTTTAGTTGTTGCAATGCTTTTATATTTTTCTATAGTATATATTGTAAATTAATACTGCTTTATGGTCAATTTTATTAAATGTTTTATGTACAAAATCTGCTTATCTCCTTATTTGTATAACCATTATATTTTGCGAATGAAGAGCTTGGTTACAGGAAATTTACAACTGCAATACTGAAGCTAATGAGAGAACCTGCAGGGGTGGCTTAAAGCCAATTTCATTTATTATTCCCAATGCAAAATGAAAAGGGGGAAGTGAAAATATGATAAAGGAATTAATGCACAGTGGCTGAAGTAACTGAAATGCATTCATGTAAAGTGTCAGGAAGTTCCTGAAGGTTTGCCACACGTCTTGGAACAGTCTGCTGAAAAATAAGATAATTCCTCTAATATTACTTGGGCCATCAGAAGCATGTCTTCTCTCTTGGGATGTTTTCTTCGCCCAAAATAAACCTAATCATATTGTAAAAGTTTTATTTGATTTAATCGCTATTCTCATCCTGAACAATTTTCTCATTTTTTACCATTGTTCTCTGTAGTTTGTATTTTGAAATGTATCGGGACTGGGAAGATGGCTATTTTATTGTCGATGAGGTCTGCAAAGGGATTTAACAGTTTGATCAACGCCCTGGAAACTTTCAAGTATAGCATCAGTTTTTACTACTAAAGTAGACTTTCAAGTGAATTATACAATGCGACCCTTGCAGTTTATATTTCTTCGTCACTCAGTATTCGCTGGAATAGTAGATTTGGGTATCCTACACTTTTTGCTCTTGACAGGTCACTGTTGCAGCCAGTCCCAGGATTAAGCGAAGGCAAATATTCATACTTAAAGTTGTGTTATTCTAATATTGACCTTTATACAGAAGAATCTTGCTGAAAAGTAGTTTTATGCAGATACTAAAATACAAATAGAATATGGATTGTAATGAGTATAATTACTGCAGATAGAAATTCATGGTATGATTGAATGTTATAAAATGCCAAATCTCAAACAATTACCTAAACCGGTACATGCTAACTAATCTCACTCACACCAATGATTTGCATAGCAGACAATGGAGTTACCATATAGCATCACTGCACTATTTCTATGAAATTAGAAAAGAACTGGCAACTCATCCTAGAGGACTCGATTCGGTGTGTCTTTCGCAATTCACATACACATTTTTTATCATTTTTTTCTTTTAATTGAAATTCCTTATTTTCATCATTTGTTTTTTCCATAGTAGATTTGACGAATCAGAGCATTCTAGAGCCTAGGTTGAGTTGCCATTTATCTTTCCAGGTAATGGATGGAACAGTCCTATTTGGTTATAATTGCACATAATCAGATAGCTGAAGGAACAGTAAACATTAACAATATTAGACCATGAGCAACATATTCGATTATGACCCAGTTGGGGCACTCCATTCCTCTGCAATTGCCAATGTTATCGCAAATACAGAGTCCTAGCAGCAATATCAGATTAAAAATGCATCTCTGCAACTAAGGGGCACACGAGCACATAAAAGTAGAATAGAACATTATGCATTCAAAATCCAGTCGTACTTAGTCATGAAGTTTGAGATTGCAGCGAAAATATAAGAAATTGTGAAAATTTTGAAGAGCTACTGACGGGGGGACACAGCTGCATCCACCCTTTGCTTTCAGCCATGGGGTTCCCTCAATGCGAGCAGCCATGCAGGCCTCCTCCCACCTAGGATTGTCTACAGACAACCTAATGGAGAGTCATCCACAGGGTTAGGTGCAAGGTGCCCATACAGCCTGAGTTGGCAGTCCCATATGATGCAGGTAACAGATCCTATGCATGACTGAACGCTTTTCTGGAGCAGCATTTCTGCCGTTTTCTAAACATTAGATGATAAAGAAAACTGATATAAATTATAACATTGAACCAGACACTATCATAAACAGATGAATATTAGAGTACAGTATCAGGGCATAGGGTCAGATAATGTTCACTGAACTGCATAAAATATACAATAGACACATTAAGCCAATAATGTAACATTTAACAATATTAAATGCAGGGATCTCCCCTGCCAAGGGCCTCAGCCCTCGCCTCGACTAATTTTGCATGGTCTTTTCTCCCTCCAGCTCTTTCGTTTGTCCCTTCTCCAACCCCTTCTACTATCTACTTACTAAGGTGTAAGAGCCATGCTGAAAGGATTAAAGGCTGACTTTGTGCCAGTCCTGAACGGCCTGAGGGAACCATGGGCACAGTATTCACCTGTTTAAGTTGTCTAGATACCCCTCAAAGGGACCCTGAGGGATGGACTGTTTATTTCCCCAACATACTCAAGGCTTCACATGGCCAGTAACAAAGGGGCAATGAGGCTTACCTATTCAGAAAATAGCCCCACCAATTCACTACCCTGACACCCAAGGCTCTTTGACCACGACTCTGAACACAGCAATTACTACCCATATCTCAATGTCTAATAGTGCATTACCCACCCAAGCCGAGACTCAATCTCCAGAAGACATTACTACTCTCCCAACTTCATCAACTTCACCACTACCGCCACTTCTTTCTAAAGCAACCGCCCCATCCTCTGTTATAACTACCTTACAGCTTTATTCTCCCCCTCTCCATAATACTACTCCCCTCAACAATACTCCCTCTTCCACATGTCCCTGTCCTTCTACCACCATCAACCCTACAAATATATACTCTATTTAGCCCAGCTAAATGGAACCGATTTTTCGTGATCTCCTCTATCTCCCTTTCCGTACCCAAGTCCCTTTCCGTACCTAACCCAATCATTCCTTTCTCATAACAGTCACATCTTAAACTGAAGCAATAGCATTATTATTAAATCTAAATGATATATCTGGCAATCCCATTCCTGCAGCACCGCATCCAACTCTTAATACCTGTACCGAAACTGTGTCTATGGATATCGATTAGTTAGATTGTGGAGAGTACTTACTTGGCTGCCTCAAAAACCGTGATGTGATATCAGTACATTGCTACTCCATTTCTCCTAGAGGTAATCGAAAGAAACCAACCAACATTGCCAAAATAACTTCCCGCACACACGACCTTCCCTTCCATATCTATATTGATGGACAATCCCTCCCTGTTCGACCATACCAACCTCCTCCCAGTCAGTCAAAACTGTTGGCGCTTTGGACAAGCGTTGCCACTACTACGGCACTTCTATTACGGCACGTTTTCTGTGTTCAGCATGACTACACAGAACGGGAATTCTATGGGGAACAAAAATAATGATGGCTTTCCTTTAATGAGAACCAGTTTTTTTCTGGGAGAGGTAATGGAAATAATTACCTTACAATAATGTAAAAATGATGTACAGAGCATGTTTTTTTTTATGAAAAAAAAAAAAAAAAACATTAAATTGATTTATACGAAGTACTGCTCCAAGGGAAAACCGACACATATTCCTTCCCCAAAGATAATGATTAAAATCTATATCAACGTATCCTTTCCTCCGGAAGGCCTCTTTCGCCGGCGGATCAGCCTTTGAGAAGGCTATCCTTAAGGCAAGAATTCTTTCGCCATATTGTTTTCTATAGACTTTATTCAGGTATGATGTATTTTAGTGAAAAAAGATATATGTATTGGGTGAAGGCCAAAGTGTATATCATTTTAGGTTTATGAGAGGAAATATAAGAAGTATTTGAAACTTGTATATTATCGGTTATGTATCTGAACTTTAATAGGCGCTGTGTAAGTGCATATCTATTGCTCATGGTGAAGGAGTGGCCAAATAGAGCAAAAGTCGAAGTGGCACCACATCACATGACGACAACCTGACCAGCAGACCATTGTCTATCACATAGCATTTGCTCCTCACACGTCCCCACCCCATGTAAGCGTGATACACAATGCTAGGAAACACCGAAATGCATGTATTATAACTGTACGAAAGGGATCACATGTAACACTATTCAAACATAGTTACATCCAGGAACTCAGAGTGTGCATCTCTTTTCATAGTGTCGTTTATGTGATAAACGAGCTATAGCTTAAGGTCTTACATTGTAAAGAACCTTCAAAGCTTACTAATATATTGAAATTACTGCATGATGTTCAAAGATGTTCGTCTGTTTATGTATTTGATTGAAATATTTTAGTTATTTCCCTTATATACGACGGGCCTCGCCAAAGCATTTAGGCCAAAAATAACCATTTTTTATAAGCAACTTGTATATAATACTATATGCTGCAAATGTTCTCATGTTTTAACTTTCCTAATACTTTATATTTTTTTATGGAGTTGGAGGGTAATGACGCAGAAGAGTGGCTTATATTGAAATATGGCGGAATGAAGATTGAAGATTGGTGACGTTTACCGCCAGAGATTTCTGCGGTAAAGGTAGAACGACAATCTTGCAGAGAGCCTTGCAGGAATCCTCATCAACTTTCAGCCACGGTTTAGAGTCCTTTGTGTGTAGCCAACCGTCTTTAAATTGTTTTTGGCGGCATTCTGCTTGATCAACACCATTAATGAACACCTCAGTCTCAATATAAGTAGTTTAATTATCCTTTGATGGCATTATTTAATTCCTCTGTGTTTAACTTTTGCCGAGAAGCCTACAATACTTAACCGTACCTTTCTCATATTCGTGAGTAGATCTAACGTTCGACTTTCATGAAAGAAGATCATGAAAATGGAGATCTCGAAATGCAAATAAACGATACACCATGGGAAATACACAAATAATAGAACGGCTTTTAAGTCTTCTATGCATAGTATACGTATTCCTATATATTGTAAAAAGATAAATTAGGCAAAATCACCATAACTTGCATCAAATAATGAGTGAGGTAATATTACCTCACTCCTGCCGTACGAGGTTACCTCATATGGCATGAAATTGTATGGGGACAATCCGTAGAGTAAAAATTACTGCAAATGGACCGCATTACAGCATTTTAGCAACCCTGTTTAGACATCCTGACAAACACTGTCGTTCCACAGACTGAGGCCCAACCTGGTCATAACCGATCAAACTGCTCAGCACAAACACGCACATGCGCTAACTGTGGTAGCAACTCTGATACAAAAATGGTCTCACTTTCCATGAAGCCAGACAGAAAGCACGTCAACAAGGTTTCTCTCT